GGTCCAGACACAGCAGGTGCCCTAGCAGACACTGCCCAGGGCTCCGACGGGGCAGACAGTGTGGGGTCCCGCAGGGGCAGGCTGGATGGCCCACAGGGTTCCTCAGGGTGACAGTAAGCAAGAGATGAGCAAACTAGGGGACGCCAGAAACCGTGCAGTGAGTGGCAGCAGCGCTGGTTGGGACTTGAGTAGCCTTTCTTGGGTTCATAAACGTCAGCGTAAACGTAGCCCAATAAAAAGGACAGAACGGAAAGGAAGCCTTTAGGTTCATCAATGTTAACTAGCTCTTCCATTCTTTTGCGCAACAGTACATTTTTAAAAACGTTTTTTGAGAATTTATACTTAAATTTATACCTAGTGGTAAGAAAAGCAGCTAACCTCTTCTCACTGCATTTTGATCAAGACCAGAAACATCCACATTCGGTCCTGCACTGTGGATTGTTCTCCCGGGCTGGCTGGCCACGCATGGGGCACGGCTGTGGCCTCGCTGTCCCCGCACGCCTGCTGACAGGCCCTGGGCTGCCCGTCCCTTCTGTGCTGAGAGCAGCAGGACTCCTGCTTAGCCACGTGCACGACGAGCTCGGGTCTGCTGTGAGGGACGCTAAGCTCTTTCTCCGCTCGTCTAACAGAGCAGACGCACGGTGCTTCTGCCCATCACTTCTTGGATTGACTGTGTTCCCGGGATTGGGCTGCAGTCATGGACTCGGTGCCAGGGCGGGGGCCCGGCATGGTGTGCTGGCCGAGCCTGACTCACCTGGGGGCTGCTTTCCTCTTGCTGCTTTGGTGTCAGAGCCTCGCAGGTGCCATGGGAATGCCGGTCAGGTCGCCTGATTTCTGCCTCTTGACCAAGCGAGTCCCCACGGCATGCACCCGCCCCTCCCGAAGGAAGCCCTTCCGGTTAGACCAGCCCTTGCCTCGCCACAGACGCGTGCCGGCCCCGTGGACCAGGCTGTCCATGAACCTCGAGCCTGGCAGGAACGGAGCAAAAGGAAGGGATGCCCTCCACGTTGCTGAATTACTAGCTGTGGTTTTCCACACTCTTGTAGTTTGGGGACATTCACGATGCCCTGACACCCTCCCTCCACATGGAGCTGATGCCTGTGCCCCGGTGGGGGGCCTCTTTTCTTAAGTCATAGTTTATATTGAAATGAGCTGGACACGACGTAACTTTGAAAAGTCCAGTGGAATCAACTGCTGCATCCCACCCTGACTTCCATGGGTTTCAGGACATACATGCAGGAGGAAGTTCTGTGACGGGGAGGAAGTTCTGTGACGGGACCCTCAGAGTTGTCACATAATTCCATGCCACTCTCTCTGTCAGTTGGATAGATTTTAAATTTACAGTCCACACACTGTCAACAAAAGGTAGCAGAAATTGTCTTAGGTTACAGGTAAAAACAACAATTAAAGCCACACAACAGCCATCAAGGCATTGGTATAAAGCGAGATAACGTTTAAGGACCAGTTTGTCCCCACCATGCGTATGAATACCCGCTGTCTGAGAACCAGGCGTGACGGACAGAAATCGCCTGGCTGGGACTTGGGCCCCTGCCTCCGGCCTTGCCCACTCTCCTGACCTCTGCTCCCCCTTGCAGCTTCCTGGTCAGCTTCATGGTGGACGCCCGCGGGGGCGCCATGCGCGGCTGCAGACACCACGGGCTCCGCATCATCATCCCGCCGAGGAAGTGCACGGCCCCCACACGGGTCACCTGCCGCCTGGTGAAACGCCACCGCCTGGCGACCATGCCCCCGATGGTGGAGGGAGAAGGCCTGGCCAGCCGCCTGATCGAAGTCGGACCCTCTGGCGCGCAGTTCCTGGGGTAAGGGTCTCTGCTAAGCCTCCCACTTAGTCGCCCGTGCGCTGGTATCTCGCCCGGCGCCCCTGGGACGGATGCACAAAGGTACGTCCAGTGCTTTGAACGAAGATTGACCCGTGACATTTTTTAAATCTATTTTTATTGACTTCAGAGAGGAAGGGAGAGGGAGCAAGAGAGGGAAATATCAATGATGAGAGAGAATCGTGGACCGGCTGCCTCCTGCAGGCCCCGCACTGGGGATGGAGCCCACAACCCGGGCATGTGCCCTGACCGGGAATCAAACAGTGACCTCCTGGTTCCTAGGTCCACGCTCAACCACTGAGCAACACCGGCCGGGCTCCTGTGACATTTAAGTAGCACTGATGCTGCCCCCCTCCCCACACCTCTTCCTTTGTGAGCATCCGTGAGCTCAGCAGGCAGGTGACCCTCTCTCTCTGGATGCGATCACAGCTGCTAGGCTCCCAGTGCGAATCATGTTTGCAGCCAATGGTAGGTATTGTTTTTCCCTGACACTGAAGTGGCAGAGTCCTAAGAAAAACCCTCCTCTCTTCCAAACATGGACTCGAGGTCCCGCGTCCTGAGAACCGTCTGCACTTGGGGAGAGGTGTGGCCAGGAGGCGGTGTGTGGTTTGCCTTCTCTGCTCCCAAACTGCTACCGTGAGGCTTACGCTCACACTGGCCGCCTGTCTGGTCACAGTTTTCCTTAAGGCAAAGTCCGGGCTCGCTGCCGCCAGCCTCATTTCAGCAATTTTGAGCAGAAATTAGCATTTCTTTCTTTTGTGTGCTTGAGCGGCTGCTACCATATTGAGTGGTATTTCAACAAGCCGAGAAATGCGTGGCTTCTGCTGAAAACCGACCAAAGGATGAGGTGGTGGAGGGGGACAAGTTTCAAAATGTTTTGAAACAAATCAGTGGTGTTTAAGCCTCCTCATAGCAAGTCTTTGTGCTTGAATGTGGGGCCCACAACCCGTTGCCCGGGAGCTTCTGTTCTGCTGGCGTCACACTGGGAGAGCTGCTCGCTAGAACTAGGGATCGGCCTAAAGTCTCGTAACTTGGAGGAAGCTGTTCACAGGTTGCTCCAAACTGCGTTCACGCCGGAGGGGGCGTGTCCGTATTCCCGGTTCTAGAAGCCGCCTTCCGCATCCCTCAGGCCAACCTGAGACCCAGGAGTCTGGGGGCTCTGGGTGGGGCACATCCCGACCCTTTCCCCCTGTCGCAGGTGCCCCCCTCCCTCACGCTCAGGCCACCTGAGCTGTGTGACAGTCTCCACATCTGAGCAGGAATATCCGTGGAAGCACCGGCCTCTGCACAGTCCGAGCTTTCATGACATTCCAGCAGCCTGGGCAGCGTATTTCTCCTTCCATGGCTCGCGCCCTGGCAGGACCTCACCAGGGAGAGGTCGTCCCCGCGTGCCGCCCCCTGCCTCCATTGGGCACGCTGGGCGTCAGTGCCTCCCTCCCTGTGGCCAATGGAGGGGACAGAACCAAAGCAGACCTCCCGGTGGCTGAGCGGGCGGTGCGGGGTGGACGCCGCCCCTGAAGCTCACTGTCTTCTCTCTCTCACTGCTGCTTGGATGTGCTCAGTAAACTCCACCTGCCAGCGGCTCCCCCCCCACTTAACGAGGGAGAAAGCTTGGTCAGCCGCATCCTCCAGCTGGGGCCTCCTGGAACCAAGTTCCTTGGGTAGGAGCGACTTAAACCAACCGATGGCTGCTGGCCCCATTCTCCTCCTCCTGCAATATGATTTCTCTTTTTGTCATTGTGCCCGTGACATGTCCCTCTCTATGATTTATACTCTGTACCAACTCTCTAGTGGACCATTTCTGACCCTGTGGTATGTGACTTTTGTTTCGAGTGATGTTTTTATACCTTTCCCCTTAAAGTGCTGTGACCTTCATTTTCGTTTAAAGCATGAGATCTGCCTAGTCGTACTCTGTGCTAGTCGCGGTGTTGTGATGGGAAACTTGGAGTCTGTCTCAAAGCAACCTGGACCGGAGACCCAGAGCCTCCACGACTCTTGAGAGTGGCTGTGCCCTGGGAGCGAGGGCCGTGCATGCTCGGAGCTGAGCCCAGTAGGCATCGCCCATGCTGTTGGGGGCTCGGCGAGGGCCGCCCTGTGCGATGCCTACTGCGCCCTCGAATGGGGGGAGCCTCGGCAGGCCCCGCATGCATATCTGCGTCGTTCCCACGCAGTCGGCTCCTCTGACATCTCATGTAGACTCATCAGCTCACACAGCACCAAGCCCCCCCTCTCCAGCCATTGTCGTGTCGCACCTCGCTGAGAACGTCCCAGGAGGTCGGTGCACGTCGTAGACATGCATGTCCATTTCTTTACGTTTCTCCGAGGAGAAGTTCCAGGTGCCACCTGCACTCGGAGACACCGGGCTCCGGGGAGCAGCGTGTCCCGGGACGGGAGCCCTGAGGTGGAGTGCTACTGCGCAGCCAGCCGCTAGCCCCGTCCCCATCCCCGTCCCCAGAGAGAGGCCTCCAGGTCACTTTGCAACAGACGGTGGGGCGCGTGGCGTGTGGCTGCTGCGCCCACACCGCGTGCTCTGCTTGCCGCAGGCCCGTCATCGTGGAGATCCCGCACTTCGCTGCCCTGCGAGGGAAGGAGCGGGAGCTGGTGGTGCTGCGCAGCGAGAACGGGGACAGCTGGAAGGAGCACTGCTGCGAGCACACGGAGGACGAGCTCAACGAGATCCTCAACGGCATGGACGAGGGTGCGTGGGCGCCTCCTGAGGACCCGGGGCTGCACGTGTGTGCGCACGTGTGCACATGTCTGCTTGTGCGTGTGCACGGTGTGTGTGCGCTGTGTGATGCGTGCACGTGTGCGCAAGCGTCTGTGTGTGGTTCTGGCCCAGCAGGTACCAGTGTGGCCGGTGACGATGAGCCGGCGCACAGTGCGTTTGCCTGGTCTCCTGTTGTGACTCAGGAAAAGAAAACGCCAGTCCCAGTGACCCTGTTGGTCTAGATTTCCTCGGTTAAGCTGGTCTGGCTTTCCGTCCTGCCCTACGGCTGTGCACTAAGTTTGTGAAAAGCCTGTGACCCCTCCAGCTGATGGTGGGGGACATGTTGGGCAAGTTCCTGGTTTCAGGGGAATTCAAACCCTGGATTCACGATCATCCATTGTGGCCCTTTTCCATACGCACAGTGCTTCTCAGAGAACCCCCCCCCCCCCCGGAGTGACCCCGCAAACCATCCTGGCAGGACAGGAGGGCGCGTCTCTTCTTACAACATAGAAACTGGGTCTTGAGCCAATGTTGATGTTGGCAGAGGAGAGCCTGCGGGACCGTTTCCTCTGCAGCTGGTGGGAGTGGAGTAAACCAGGGAGAGCCCCGCCCCCACCCACCCCGAGGCCACAGGCCCCGCAGAGGGACCGGGCGCTGCTCTGGTGGAAGCGCTGCTGCCCCGAGGAGGCGCTGACCTGGACCTGTGCGCTGTCATCCGCAGTGCTGGACAGCGCTGAGGACCTGGACCGTAAGCGCATCTGCCGCATCGTCACGCGTGACTTCCCGCAGTACTTCGCCGTGGTATCCCGTGTCAAGCAGGACAGCCACCTGATCGGACCCGAGGGCGGTGTGCTGAGCAGCACAGTGGTCCCGCAGGTGCAGGCGGTGTTCCCCGAGGGTGCGCTGACCAAGCGGATCCGCGTGGGCCTGCAGGTGCGGTGCTGGGCGCGTGCGTGGCCAGGGGCACCTTGGGAGGAGGGGACTGGCTGTGGGAACGGGGCGGGCCCACACAGACATGGTCACGTCGCACTGGAGAGCAGGGGCTGCCACAGCACACAGTAGGTCTCTTGCAGGAGGGCTGAGTACCTGCTACCTCAGTCCTATGCTGGAAGCTACTGTGCTGATGATGAGACAAAAAGTGCTTTCAAAGATACTGACGTGAAGCACGGTCTGGTGCTCACTCTCTGCTTTCCTTGGAAAAGGCGCAGCCTATGCACGGCGAGCTGGTCAGGAAGATCCTGGGGAACAAAGCGACCTTCAGCCCGATCGTCACCTTGGAGCCCAGACGGAGGAAGTTCCACAAGCCCATCACCATGACCATCCCCATCCCCGAGGCCGCCAGCGACGTCATGCTGAACGGTTTTGGGGGAGGTAATCCGACCTTGAGACTCCTGTGCAGCATCACAGGTGAGGCGCCCGTGCGGTGTGAGTAGAAAGCTCTGGAAGGAGAAACCTACACGGTTGTCAGTGTTAGCGCTTTGTCATGAGGTGCCTGCAGGGCCCGTGCGGATTCAGGAGGAGCCTCCCCAGTAGGGAGCAGAAGGTGGCAGGCCAGGCGTGAGCCACCTGCCGGTACAGCCGCAGGCCCCTGGGAAGCACTCACGGTCGTCTCTGCCTCGCGGCCCTGTGCCCGCACTTAGCCCCGTCCCCCTGAAAAGGAAGCCAGGCTCCGAGAACTGTGACTCCCGAGACCGTACCACAGGCTTGTGCAGAGAGGGGTTCCAACCCAAGCCCGCACACCTGTCGGCCTTCACCAGAGACCTCGTCGTCCACCTGCTGAAAACCATCGTCCTGCACCGTTGCCCCCGCAGCTCAGACCTGACCTCTGTGTGGGAGTCGGGTCTGTCATCACGGACCTGTGGGGCAGCCTTGAGAAAACAGAGTGAAGGTTTTTCAAGATTCACTGAACACGGTCTTTTCCTTTGGAAGTTGTGTTAGTGTTCAGACAGCTACCAACCTCCAGGGAGACACTCCCAGCTCTTGGTTGTCTCGCCCCCTTCGCAGAGTGGGAGGTAGAAAGCTCACAGGCATCGTTTGGCGGGAAACGCCCCCCTTTCACAGCACCGCGTGCTCCTGGGCTCAGCCACGCCCGCCCGTGCTCGGGTCAGCTGCCCTGCTCGCCCGCCCGCCCGGGGGGGTGAGGAAGTTCTCCCCTCCCCTCGTGTTGGCAGTTGTGTTCTCCCTTTATCTTGCTCTCTCTCCAGTTCTCCCTCCTCATTAATGCTTTTCTATATGCACCATGACAAGCCATGGAGCTTGCCCCATACGTTTAATAAAATGCAAACTACGTGGACTAGCAGGGACGCAGGGGGTCACGACCTGGTTCCCGCCCCACATTCCTGGGTGCGTTTCCCATGGTTTTTAGTCCCTGTGCATACAATTAGCCCTCTGTCACGTGAGACGCAGGGTGTGGAGGTGAAACAGGTGAGGTGTAACGGGCAGGCATGCCCATCCCTGGCCAGGGGTCAAGCGAGGGACCATGTGGCCGAGGCGCCATCGACCTGATTAGGCCTTCCTTGGGCCTTCGTCCACCTGTCCATCAGCCTGCAGTGTTCATTAAGCTGTTCATGTCTCCCAAGTACTTTTTACAACCTTCCATTGCAAACGGAGAGAATTTTTTCTCTTATGAAAATAATTGTATAAAGCATGAAGTTCAGGAACAAAAAGCTACCTGAATTTTTTCATTATTTTAACAAAGCCTTCAACTCCTTGGTCAGTTAAAGGATCTTTTAAATGCATCCACCCTGTACAAATCAAATTGATCTTCAGGGCCTACCAACTACAGTAACAGCCTCAGGGAGTCAGGTCGAGGGCAGAACACCTAGACATTTGAAGCAGCGACTCCAATAACCTTTAAGCTCATTCCTGGGAGGTGCTGTCAGCGCTGCTTCTCAGTGTGGCCTTTCAGCTTCCGCGGCCAAGCGCAGGGAACCACAGACGCACTTGACGATCAGAGGCTGAGCGCTGCCTAATTTTCAACAATCCTATTGTTTCAGGCGGGACCACTCCTGCACAGTGGGAAGACATCACAGGAACCACGCCGTTAAATTTTGTCAATGAGTGTGCTTCCTTCACCACCAACGTGTCTGCCAGGTACGTCCAGCCCTCAGACCAGCCCGAGGCCACACGGGCCCCCCGCCAGGGATTTTGCTTTTCCTTTTGTCTCTATGTTCTTTAAAGTGAGTTTTTCTGGTTGGTTTTAAATACAATCTGTATTAACTTTCGTATTTTAAACTGGGCCTGCTTGCCAGCAAAGTGAATAGTGATGGTACAGTAACAAAGCTCAGCCAGTCGGGTTGGAATCTCAGGACAGTAAGTGATTGGCAGCTCTGCCTGTGGGGCCTGCCTCCCGTGGCGGCCACCAGCGATGGGTCCAGTCCCAGAGGCCTGGGGGTGCTAGATGCCCTGCTGTCCAGCGCATCCTGAGCTGCTTCCCAGCAGAATATCAGGGGGTCCGAGAGCACATGCGTGTGCAGTGGGTTCGAGGTCTAGGTGACCAGGGGGCCTGACCGTGTGTGTCTGTGTCTCGCGTCCTCACTGCGCGGACACTGTCCACTCTTGTTTCATGTGCTCACTCCGTTTACCATCAGCTCCCGTGTGTGACTGGCAGGGGAGTGCTGGGCGCTTTCCCACGCATTTGATTTCCTCACTACAGGGACTTGGTACTGTGTCCACTTTACAGATGGGAAAACAGGCTGAGAGGGTTAGAGCTTAAACTCCTGTTCAGGGGACAGAGCAGAAGGGCACACATGGGCAGCAGCTGGGGTGCTGGCCCCGCTGTCGCTCCAGAGATGACAAGTGCTGAGGAGAGGGTTACCGGGCCCTGCCGGGTGCAGGGGCTGTGCACGTCGGGGCAGAGAGGGCGCCCGAGGGAGCCTGGCAGGCAAGAGAGAGGACCATGGACAAGACACAGCAGGGTGGGGGCGAGCAGCAGACATCTGAGGTCGGAGGTCAGACCAGAGTGCCACGTGGCTGCGGCAGTGCTGAGGGGGGCCTGCTCGGGAGGCCAGGCAGCCCCTGTGTCCCATGTTCCCCATTTCACCCCCCGACGACGGAGGGAGCAGTGAGCACCGTGAGTGAGGACGGGGATGCCGAGCACCGCCAGGAGCCAGCGGCTGAGCTGGACCCTGAGAGCGTGACGCTGCAGGAAGTAGCCGGACGTTCGCACGTGCGAGGTCCCCAGAATAGGCGAGTGCGCGGAGACGGGGCAGTTAGCAGTCAGGGTTTGGGGGACCCTTGTTCTGTTTGGGAGGACGGAAAGTGGCAGAAATGGTCAGTGATGGCAGCCCAGGGCTGTAAGTGTAATAATGCCAATGTGTGTACACTTAGGTGGGGCTAGCATGGCAAGTTTTATGTTATGTGTACCTCATCAAACGCTAATAAAAAGGGGAGAGGTGGACGAGGGACAGGAAGGAACCGGTGACGAGGGAAAGGGAACCTCAGGGGCGTGGAAAGATGGCGGGAAGTAGTCGAGGGAAGGAGCCAGTAATAGGCGGAGCGAGGTTTCAGGGCGACAGGATGTGGATAACACTTTGCATCTGGCGGCCTCAGCTTTCTCGGCGGAATGGTCCCTCCTCAGGGGTGGTGCGGGGGGTGGGGGTCGGGGAACACTGGGCGGGCTCAGCAACCTCAGTGCCCTGAGCAGTGACACTGAGGGGACATGGCCAGGCCATGTCACAGGCCCCATGAGGCCACCAGCCAGGAAGGAGCACAGAGCAGTGACTTCCTCTGGGAGCCACGCCCAACAACCCCCGCGAGTTCTGCCGAGAAAGCAGGTTTCCAAACGGTTGGATTGATCCACCTCGGTGGCGGGAGTTTTGGAAAAGAGTAACTCGATGAAACGCTGGGCAGAGTTTATTGAGAAGAGTTTCAGGATATGAGAGGAAGATTGGGGACGTCAAGGGGAACAGGGCTCCCCCATGAGGACCCATTGCGATGACCCCAGGCTCCCTCCATGGACGGTGCTGGGACTCGGGCAAATTTCAGAAGCTGGACCCTGGGAAGCGTTTCCAAGGAAGAAAAGCACAAATATGGGTCCAGTGGTTGGCGGTGCACACCTGGTCCTCAGTGCCCCCCTGCTCGCTCTGCCCACCGGCTCATCGTCTCCCGCTTCTCTGTTTCCAGGAAGCACTTAATGACTTTGCTCATATTGAAGGAACTGAGGGTTTTTTTCAACTGGTGTCCAATTTTTTTAAAAGATTTTTAAAAATTTGTTTTAATTGATTTCATAGAGGAGGGGGGAGAGAGAGAGAGAGAGAGAGAGAGAGAGAGAGAATGAATCATCATGATGAGAGAATCATTGATCGGCTGCCTCCTGCACGCCCCCTACCAGGGATGGAGCCCAAAAACCTGGGCACATGCCCTGACCAGGAATTGAACTGTGACCTGGTTCACAGGTTGACGCTGATGCTCAGCCACTGAGCCACGCCGGCCAGGCTGCTGTCCATTGGTTTGGACGCCTGACCCAAAATCCTTTGCAGGTTCTGGCTGATCGACTGTCGGCAAACCCAGGAGTCCGTCGCCTTCGCCTCCCAGGTGTACAGGGAGATCATCTGCGTGCCGTACATGGCCAAGTTCGTGGTGTTCGCCAAATCGCACGACCCCATCGAGGCGCGGCTGCGGTGCTTCTGCATGACTGACGACAAGGTGGACAAGACCCTGGAGCAGCAGGAGCACTTCGCGGAGGTGGCCCGCAGCCGGGACGTGGAGGTGCGGGTTCCAAAGCAACGCATGACACGTCGTCTATGCCGTTCTTCTTAGATTACACGTAAAGTAGTGGTTAGTAAATAGGACCGCACGTTAAAAAAAGACCAGTCCTCATCCTGGTCAGTTAGAAGGTCAAGGTCCAACACGAGCTCTTCCTAGTCCGTCTGGGCCAGTCCTGTCAGGATCGTCTCAGCCTCCATCCTGAGAGGAGGAGGGAAAGGGCTCTCTTACGGAGCAATCATGGGGGAGGAGGACTCAGCCATGAACACTTGGAGTGCGGGAAACGAGTTAAGTCGGCTCGCGTGAATTGCGCGTACTCCGCGGGAGCCGTCTTTAACTCGGTTCATATAGATTTGCGGTGGAGTGCGGGAAACGTGTAAACTCGGGCCGATTGTAACTGCGTATTACCAAATATTTGTTTGTAATCCACCCTTTTGGTGGATGGAACAAAACCAAAAGACAGAGCCATCTTATATTTTGGCGGGAAATTCACCCGCACTCCAAGTGTTAAGTGTGTCAGCGGCGGCAGCAGTGGAGAAGGCTTGTCTTTCCTCATTTGGAGTAACTTGCAGTGGTGAGGACAGCAGTCAGGAAGGGCACCCTCAGTGTCAGTGTGGACGTGAGCTGCCCAGGCCTCTGCGTCACTCCTGCTGATTTCAGGCTTCGTCATCGGCGTGGGTGTGGACGGTGAGGTCAAGTAGTGTGACTCATTGGATGTAAAAACGACCCGATCAGAAGATGGACTCCAGGAGTTAAAGCTCTGCCAGTTTGGGGGTAATGTTAGAAACAAGGGCGTCAGCATTAGAGGCCACCACACCTGCAGGTCCCCCAAGGACATGCTTTGTCCCCGGGGGGACAAGACATAGCAACTGAGTGATGGTTGTGGGTAGGTCTTAACATTCCAACAGGGATCCCCAGTCCTTTATGTAAATAACAGGTAATGACTGCACTTACTCTAGTCTGTGCTGCTTGCTCTGCCTCACCAGGTGCTGGAAGGAAAGCCCATCTACGTTGATTGCTTTGGCAATCTCGTGCCATTGACCAAGAGTGGCCAGCATCACATATTCAGTTTTTTTGCCTTTAAAGAAAACAGACTTCCTCTCTTTGTCAAGGTAACTATCTATATGGAATTTTTACGCACATTTGTTCTACATCAAGTAAGGTTTAACTTCCTTTAGAAGGAGAGAATATTTGCTTTTCAGTCATTTTCAGCAATTATTTAAACCATATTTGTAAAATGTTAAAGTTCTAGAAAACCAACCATTTTCATTTTTGAAGTTCAAATTCAATTTCAAGACTATGTTTAAGGACAGCCAATTCATTAATTAGAAAAACTGGCTTTTTCAATTTTTTTTAAAAAATAAATATATTTTATTGATTTTTTACAGAGAGGAAGGGAGAGAGATAGAGAGTTAGAAACATCAATGAGCGAGAAACATCGATCAGCTGCCTCCTGCACATCTCCCACCGGGGATCTGCCCGCAACCAAGTTATCGAACCTGGGACCTTTCAGTTCACAGGCTGACGCTCTATCCACTGAGCCAAACCGGTTTTGGCACTTTTTCAAATTTTAAAGGAAAGCCTCTCTCTTTTTAAATGTTGTTCCTTTTAAATATTTGTGCTTAAGTGATTTAAATGTGTGAATTTCACCAGTGAGGAGAGCAAAGGACTCTCCAAAGGCCTAGGAGCCCACTCAGCGTAAAGTGAGATGACCCCAGGCAGCGCTCTCGCCGGGCCTCCTTCCACAGTCGCTCAGCAGCCACTCCGGAGGCACCTCAGTGCACACGAGCTCCCTGTCTGTTTCAGACCGTTCATCCTGCGCAGAGTTTGGCGATGATCATTACATCTCCCCCAGATCCCACGCCTAAGGAGGGACAAGCACGTATAAATGAGAGGCTTGTGAAGTAGGAAGGAAGTAATTCCGTTCCGCACCGTCTCTCGCCACTCACTGTCCCGTTGCCCACAAGCACTGCACTTCTCTGGAGGCCCCGATGCCCCGCCCACACAGGACAGGACAGCACTGGGCTCCCTCGCTTTTCCCAGTCCAGCCTCAGGCGACTGATTCCCAAGCAGTTCATCATCTCTTACCCTTTTATTACCAAACCCCTCATGGTTTCTCCCAGCACAAATCTGTTCAGCTGCTTAATGTTTTTAAAATATTTTTTTACTGATTTCAGAGGGGAAGGGGGAGAGAGAGAGAGAGATGGAAACATCAATGATGAGAGAGAATCATTGATCAGCTGCCTCCTGCACGCCCCTTACTGAGGATGGAGCATGAAACCCAGGCATGTTCCCTGACCCGGAATTGAACCTCCTGGTTCATAGGTCGATGCTCAACCACTGAGCCACTCAGGCTGGGCAACCTGCTTAATTTTTTAGATCGATTGAGTTCTCCCAAGATCTCTGCCGAGCCTCTCATGGTGCCATTGCTGGTCACCAGTTTTGCCTGATGAAAGCTGTCCTACAGGCCACTCCATGGAGCAGTAACTGCTGAGGGCGGCAGAGCCACTGAACACAAACGGCTGTGTGATTGACTAATATTTGATACCATTGCTGTGTAAGCACCATTTATAAACAACCCCATACAAAAATGGGTAGAGGACCTGAATAGACATTTCTCCGAGGAAGGTGTTAGGTGGCCAGTAAGCCCATGAAAAGATGCTCAGCAAAGTCATATTCCAGCCACAGTGAGATCCTGCTCCGAACCCATGGGAATAGCTGTTACCCAAACAACGGAAACTGGTGTTGGTGAGGCCGAGTGAGAACGGGGGCCGATGCATTGCTGGTGGGAAGTCACACGGTGCAGCCCCTGGGAAACAGTGCGCAGTGCTCAGCGTGAGACCACGGCGACCGCAGGTCCAGGGATTGGACTCCTCGGTCTAGGCCCCAAAGGTCTGAGGCAGGCACTCGGTTACTTTCCCGCTGATGTCACGAAAGCATTATTCACCCAAACATGGAAACATCTCGAATATCCATTTGCAGATGAATGGATAGGCCAAGAGTGGTCTGTACACACCATGGAATGTTATTCAGCCTTAAAAGGCAATGAAATTCTGACACATGCTACAACACGGATGGGCCTCGAAGACATATGTTGAGTGAAATTAACCAGGCACAAAGGACAGACATGGTCTGAGTCCATCTCTCCGAGGTCCCAGAGGAGGCAAGTGTAGAGGCAGGTGGAAGCGAGTCCCCGGGGGCCGGGCAGAGGAGGTGGGCAGTCCCGGGGGCAGGGGCAGAGTTGGTACTTGGGATGGTCAACATGCTGCAAAGGAGTGACGATTGCACAGCTGGGTGAGCGCCTGACGCCACTGACTGTACACTGAAACACGGTGAGGGAAAAGGTGAATTTTGTTATGTCTGTTTTACCACAATTTTTTAAAAAGCTGGATGATTTTTAAAAAAACAATTGTAAGTTGTAAAAGGACAGGGAGAAAGGAGCAGCCTCGAACCCTTACTCGGCATTCTCAAATGCATTGTCTGTCCCCCAGTTCTTTGGGGAATCATCTCCTTAAAGAAGCCACATGCGTCCTGTGTGGTGACACACGTGCCTTTCTTGTCCAAGGTACGAGACACGACTCAGGAGCCGTGCGGACGACTATCATTTATGAAGGAGCCGAAGTCCACGCGAGGCCTGGTGCACCAGGCCATCTGCAACTTGAACATCACCCTGCCTGTCTACATCAAGGTATCGCAGAGGCGCTGCGTGCGGCTCGGGGGTGGGGGTGGGGGGCGTTGGTATCTGCAATCCAGGACCGTGTACAGCAGGGGCATCGCATGCTACACAGGGAGCAGTCATTTTGGATTCCCTGTCAATCCGTGAGTTTCCATGGAAGTCAGAACAAAAGAAGCTCCACCTTATTTCCTATCCAGTTCATTGTGATGAAAAATTTCTATGAACGCATATTGGATACAGAAGACAGAAATGTTTAATTTAAGATTTAACTTTTTGGACTAGTTTTTAAAAACCAAATAACTGACTTCATCTTCATTATTGCTGTTGTGTGCCCTCCTGGGACCATGCTGGGGCCTCTGGTACCCAAACCTGTTGGGCCATTAGCTGTGGCTCTCCACCAGCTCATAGGTGGGTTCTAAATACCACATGCAGAGCAACCTCATGGCATTGCGTCTTGTTGCTAAAATAATTACTGTTCAGTTTATTTATATTTTTTAAATATATTTTTTATTGATTTCAGAGAGGAAGGGAGAGGGAGAGAGAGAGAGAAACATCCATGATGAGAAAGAATCATCAATCGGCTGCCTCTTGCACACCCCACACTAGAGATCAAGCCCACAACCTGGGCATGTGCCCTGACTGGGAGTCGAACTGTGACCTCCTGGTTCATAGGTCAACCGTGAGCCACGCCAGTCAGGCATTACCTGTTCATTTTATAACTGTAATATCTTGGGAGTATCAAATTAATTTTTCAACTATTTTAACATGATTAGTATACAAAATATTTCCATGTTCCAAGGAGCAGATTTGAAACATTGTTGCAAAGGAAACATTCATTCATTCCTGCCCCCGGTCCAGCTACATCTGGGTATAACTCTCCAGGCAGGCCTCTTCCTGATGCAGATGGTCTGTGATTTCTCCTGCTTATACAGAAAAATTCTTGATTACTCTATCAAGCCAAGGAAGACAGCTGAATGAATTATATGTTGGGGATAACTTTTTTAATTTAAAAATATTTTAACCAGTAGCCCTTCCTCATGGGAAGCCCACCCAGCCATGCCCAGTAGGCTGCGGCCTCTTGTCAGGCAGTGTGTCCGAGAGGTGGGGACAGGGTGCAGTGGGGTGAGCCCTGGCGGAGGGAAATACGTTTAAAGTTCTACATTGGACTCCACAAAACAAGCACTTCCTAGACTGCTTTTTACCCGCCGTCTGGTTTCCTTAACGAATGATTCCTGTAAACAGAGATCAGTCACGTAGAAAAGCTCACGGCATCATGTGCAGCATTGCAGCTCCTTATTTGATAAAAATCAATCAATCTTATTTTCCTGTGAAGATAATGAGCTGTGGCTCTGAGTTCAGTGAGCCTTCAGTGTGCCGTGAAGAAAGCATTGGCTTTATTTATTTTAATATTTTTATTGATTTTTTAGAGAGAGAGGCAAGGAGAGAAAGAAATATCTATTGGCTGCCTCCTGCATGCCCCGACCGGAATGGAACCTGCAACCTTTTGGTGCACAGGACGCCGCCCCACCACCTGAGCCACGGCCAGGGCTCGCTCACCTGTTGTCACATTGTCCGGGGCAGACGCGGTGTTGATGCTGTGACGGTCCAGGGCGGCTTCCTGTTCAGTCATAACGCAAAACAAAAGTATAAAGAGCCAGACAGCTGGGCATCAGAATCTACTGGTGTTTATAGCCCTAGAACTCCGACATGCTGCCCGTGGGCCAGGACGATACTCGCCACACGCTGCTTTGTGGCTCTCAGCCTGGCCAGCCAGCACCGTGCCCGCCAACCCATTAAAGGTCCAACTTTGAGGCTGCCGGCGACCTAGCATCTGAAATGAGTATCTTCATAATTTAGGTTCCTTTGTGTCTCGAGTCACCAGACTTGTGAGTTTAAATCAACCCTTTTTAGCTTGTGCGCCTCTCCAGTGAACGGTTAGAAAATGTCAGAGTGCCCTGACTGAATGCCGGGCGGTTCTTAACCTTTCCTCCTAAACTCTCTGTTCTTTTCCATCCCGCGTGGTGCCTGGCGAAGGAGTCCGAGTCGGATCCGGAGCAGGAGGAAGAGGTAATTGTGTGACCCTGTCGCTGACCCATCAGAGCGCCGGTGCCCTGTGTTCTCGGGCCGCAGCCCACCACTCTGAGCCAGTGAGGACAGGCGCACTTCCCTGGAGAACGTTGCCCCGTCTTTGCCATGTACCTACTTCTCTACCCACCGCTGAGGCCACCCCGTCATCTCGGCGGCTCTCACAGGCTGGCTGGCAGAGACCCATCTCCTGGTCATATAGCCCGGGGCCCTTCCTCGCCTCTCACCGCAGGTCCCCTCAGCTGATGCCGCCCGCACGGACACTCCGGGACGTGTGCTTGGTATTGGTACACGTGTCCTTAGGTCCCAACATTTCCTCAGCTTCATTTTTGTAACACATGTTCCTTATCTGAGTCAGACACAGACCACAGCTCCTCAGACTCCTGGGTCGTTTGTAAGAGTTAAAGGGTCTTCGGGCCAGAAAGTCTGAGAACCACTGAGACCAAAACTAGGGAGCATGTCGTTCACCCGTCAGGTGATGGCAGTGCCGGGGGCAGGGTGTGCACATGATCCTGCGGGCAGCTCCTCCCGGTGCCCCAGCAAAGCAGGGCTGCGCCTCCCACCGCAGGGGAGGCAGCATGGCTCGGAGACCGTGCAGGAGTAGCCATTTCAGTCACACCTGCTCCTACAGTCCAAGCTGGGGGAGGGTGTCCCTTGTAGAAAACTGAAAACGCCTAGCGTTACCGTAGAAATGAGAGAGGTCATTGGGGAAGCCTTATACTTACCGAGGAACATAAGGGTTCTGTCTCTAAGACAAGTGCGGTTGTTAGTAGTTGCACGTTAATGTTTTCAAATATACTAATTTTGTTTTCAATTTATTCTGATGGATTCGAAATGCAAAAATAGAAAAATGTAATACATGCCCTTGTACCCACCCGCTGAACATGTAAGGCATTATCGGTCCAGAGAAGCCCTGACTCCGCTTTTTCATGGACACTCTGGCTGCAGGCAGGGCAGGAGGGGGTTACAGACTCCCCAGACACAGGAGCCTGTGGCCAGACTGAGGTCTTCTCCCTCGACTGTCCAGTCACTCCGTCTCCCATCCACGTCCTTCCCGTGCCTGGTGACACGGCCCCAGAGCTGGGAGGAGGAGGCCGCGCGCCCTCCAGCCGAGCGGTGCAGTTGGGAGCCACCTAGCCACCCTCTGATGAGCCTTTCCCACGCTGGACGGTTCCTATTGACTAGTCTCAGGACCTGTTAGCGATCAGTGCATTCTGTCCAGGAACTGTCCTTCGGCTTGTGATGAGTGACAGGGGCACCATGTCCGTGGAACGTGCCACCTGGCATGCGCTTTGTGCTCCACAAAGTGGGCACGTTGATTGCCTGCTTCCCTCTCTCCCTGTCCTTTTCCTGATAACGGTGCATTTCTAACACAGGCGTACCCTGGGGCCCGTCTGCCCTGGAAAAACGTGTTAGAAAGGGCTCCCCATCCACAGTATCTAGAAGAGATTCGTTTTTTCAAAGTTTGGATAAGAATCAAGGAAACTGTCATGAGGAAGTGCAGCCAAGGCTCTGTGCCCAGTGCACGGGGTCCCCACGCATGTGATCGTGACTTGGAGCTCAGAGCTGGGGGCCGGGGAGGGAGACGGGAGAGAGAAAACACTGTTATAACCATTCAATTTATGTGTGTGTTTTTTTTCAGATCGATGTGACATCAGAAAAAAGTAAGATTTTAAGTAAACTTAACTTTGTTTGAAAGCTGACTAAAGACATGCGAGCTAGTGGCCATTACTAACTACTGTAATCATTATGTTTTATATTCTGAGTCATCATTAACATGCATTTAGAAAGCAGCTTGGCCAGTTAAATGATAGAGACATCTAACTGTGACCTCATTGGCGGAGAAGCACTATGATTCTCCTCCTACACGCTCACCCTCTGTGATACCCTGCTCCCCGCTGCGCCCGCTTGTTGGAGGCCCGCCGTGTCTGTCCCTCTGTTAGCGCGCCATTGTCACCTCACCTCCACCACCGACACGACAGCATCACTTGCTGTGCAGCCAGCACTGAGCCCTCGAGAGCTCCTGATTCTGTGGCCGCACCTGCGAAAGTGATGCTGTCTCGCCGCCGCCGCCCCTCCCCGCCCCCCACTGTGGTGAAGCAGCCAAACGCCCGCTGTAGGCCAGGCCGCACTCTGGGAGAGCTTTCCGGGAAAAGAGCCGTGGGTTCCCACAGTAAAACCTCCGGGATTTCTAATCACACAGCTGTGTCGTCATGGAGCGCCTTTCACACAAGGATGCAGGTCCCCGAACCACCCAGCGCAGAGAGAAGCAGTGTTGGGGCCTGCGCCCAGCCCTCGCACCCGCCGGAGCCGCGGCATGCTAGCCTTGTAGGTCACCGACCTGTTCTGGCAGTTTGGGCTTCTTGTGCGGAAGAACCTGAATTCTGTAGTTTTTTAATATATTTTTATTGATTTCAGAGAGGAAGGGAGAGGGAGAGAGAGAAACATCAATGATGAGAGAGAACCATTGATTGGCTGCCCCTGCACACCCCCTACTGGAGATGGAGACCACAACCCGGGCCTGTGCCCTGACCAGGAATCAAACCCTGACCTCCTGGTTCATAGGTTGACGCTCAACCATTGAGCCACACTAGCTTGGCAATTTTTTAGGTTTTATTTATGTATTTATTTTTGCTTTTCTGCCCCATATGCTTCAGAAGAAATTCTATTTTTTTAATGTTCATTCATTTAAGATTTGTTTTGATGAGCTACATTTCGGGGTGGTGCTTCCAAGAGAAGAAAACCTGGAGCCGGTTAACGTGGTCGTCTGGCCCCGAGCAGTGGTCTGAGGGCTTGGAAACGGTCATCTGAGCTTTTCAGTGAGTCTCCTCCCCCTCATGGTACAGCAGCATTTGGGACTAGGACACTTGAAATTCTGGATGTTTTCATTGGTTTATGTTTGAGCAAATCTATATTGATACAAATTATTTTAATATATTTTTATAAATGGATATTACAGAGACTGTCTTCTCAACAAATACTTATTTTTTTCAAGAGAAGGCACTTTTCGTTTATTAAAAAGATGATAGGTTAGATTGCCTTCATTAATTTTTTGTTTTTAAAATATATATTTACTGATTTCAGAGAGGAAGGGAGAGGGAAAGAGAGAGACATCAATGACGAGAGTGACTCATTGATCGGCTGCCTCCTGCACGCCCCAACCCCAGGCTTGTGCCCGGACCGGGAATGGAACCGTGACCTCCTGGTTCATAGGTCGAGGCTCGACCACTGAATCACGCGAGTGGGACAGTTCCTATTTTAAAGAGATTTCTTTTTGCTCTCCCCTTTCCTGTTCAGAACCACTGTGTGCATTTAAACGGCCAGCTTCTTTGTTCCTTGGATACAAACTTGGGGATTAAAATTGAAGCCAAGCATCAGGCTCCATCGTGATGAAGAAAAGCGCCACATTGCCGTAAAGCCTGGGTCCTCCCTGGCCCCCTCGGTGTTGTGACTGTTTTAAATTTTCAAATATAGACTGATGTTTGGCTTTATTTTAGTTTAAAGGTGATTATTAAATAACATGCAGCTGGGTGTAAAATAGTGTCCCTGAGGGGCTGAGGAGGGGCTGTCCCTGAGCCCTGAGCGGCTGCCCTGCCTGGGCCCCACCAGCCGCGCCCTGAGCACCGCACCCGCAGCCAGCGCTGGGCGGTGGGTGGTGGCGGAGCTTCCCCACAGTCGGTCCCGCTGTCTGTCCCTCCCGACCACCCCCTGCCTGCCTCCCCTCACCCGCCTCCGCTCTGCATGGAAATAACTTGGCTTACACAGCTGTGTGTGTCTGTGTGCGTGTCTCCGACTGGGGTTGCTATGCATCACGTTTTAACTTTGGACTCACAGATGTGTCCTCACCACGGTTGTCTTGTGGTTTTTCTTTTTTTTCCTTTCTTCCCTCCTTGGTCTTTCCTGTAAGTGTCTAAACAAGGAGGCGGCTCCGAGGAGAGGGCCAGGCCTCTCCGCCCCAGAGCCTGTGTCTCACTGTTAGGTGTGCATTTCCTTAGCTGAAAAGCCGGTCTGCAGCGGATTCAGAGACCTGGGGTATAGTCATTGTGTGGCCGAACGGAGCCGGTTCCAGACTGCGTGCGGTCCGAGGCGCACCCTGCGTTGGCTACGCCTGGCTTTCTGCCAGAGGAAATGGGCTCTGCAGTTCCTGATGCTGCGTTCCCTCCTCCGTGTATTTTTCTTTCCACATCCATCTGTGCCGTCTGAACAATCTTGAGATGCCTCCATGTGCTGTCCCTGCCTGTCTCTGTGTTGGTTTGTGACGCCATCGGCGTGTGTGTCGACGGCTGGTCTCAGCGCTGTTGTAAGTGTGGGTGTGCGACAAGTGAGGAGTGAAGCAAGTTATTTCCTGCTCATTTTCCTTTCAGTTCCCCTTAGCCTTGCTTTGCTTTGTCTCCTGAGACCTCGTGGATCCGCCACCCTGCCCATTTTGTTGTCCCTCCCACCGCGCCAGGAAGACCCTGTGTCCTTGGTCCTGGTTACATTTGCCAATTTCTTGTCTGATTTCCATTTTACTTCCAATGCTTTCCATGCATATCCAAGATGATGAGACAGAGTCGACAGAAACATCTGTCCTGAAAAGCCAGCTGGTCACTGAGGCCCCAGCCCTGGCGAGCCCGGACCTGCTCTCGGAAGTCTCTGAGATGAAACAGGGCCTGCTGAAGATGAGTGCCCTGCTGACCACAGATGCGGCCGACAGGGCAGGGCCGCTCAGGGACAAGGAGCCGGCTGGGCCCTCCCAGGAGGAGCCGGGGGAGCCCTTTGAAATCGTGGAGAAAGTGAAGGAGGACTTAGAGAAGGTGAACGAGATCCTGAGGGGGGGGTGCTCGGAGGGGGAGGGCCGTGAGCCGGGGCCCCAGCAGGACGAGGAGTGGGTAGTTGTCAGTGACGAGGAGATAGCGGAGGCCAAGCAGAGGGCACCCCTGGAAGTCCCCGAGGTCCCCTGTGTGGAAGTGAGACTAGCGAGGGAGACCCCAGCCCAGGGACAGAAGGATGCCACGGGGCTGGTCAACTACCTCATTGAGGACCTGAGCTCCTACACGGCCTCTCCCGGAGGGGCCCCGCAGCCAGTGCCCCGTGCGGCCGGGGCCGGGCGCGCTGGGAGCCAAGGGAAGGACGTTCCCCGAGATGGGACGCAGAGAGCGCAGAAGGAGCGCAAGCCGGGCCTGGGCGTGAAGAAGCCCGCGCGGAGGAAGCTGAGAGAAGACCTGACGCAGAAAGAGGAGGGCGCACAGGCCGGCACGGGGAAGCTGGGGCTGCGAAAGGGCAGCTCCGAGGAGTCCGCGGAGGAGGACGCGGGGTTAGCTCCGGAGCCGCAGCCCGCGGGGAAGGCCACGTCGCCCTTGGTGGAAGAGACACCCATCGGCTCCATCAAGGACAAAGTGAAGGCCCTTCAGAAGCGGGTGGAAGACGAACAGAAAGGTCGAAGCAAGTTGCCCGTCAGAGTCAAGGGCAGAGAGGAAGTGCCCCGGAGGGCCAGCCCCAGGCTGCCACCAGCCGCCTCGCCCCCTCTGAAGTCCGACAGGCGGGCACCTGCCCCCCCGGCCTCCAAGGCAGACAGACACTCTTCCCTCACCGCCTCCGCCAAGTCCGACAGGCATCCTCCCACATCACCACCGAGTAAAACGGACAAACACTCGCCCGTGTCTTCCTCAACGAAAACCGACAAACACTCGCCCGTGTCTCCCTCAACGAAAACCGACAAACACTCGCCCGTGTCTCCCTCAACGAAAACCGACAAACACTCGCCCGTGTCTCCCTCAACGAAAAACGACAAACACTCGCCCGTGTCTCCCCCAACGAAAACCGACAGACCGTCGCCTGCATCCTTGTCAGGCAAAAATGGGAAACACTCCCCTGTGTCACCTTCAGGCAGAGCAGACAGACACCCACCTGCGTCGCCATCTCCATCGGGAAGGACGGACAAACATGCACCTGCGTCACCGGGGAGGACAGACAAGCGCCTGCCCGTGTCCCCGGCGGCCAGGACGGAAAAGCACCCGCCAGGGCCAGCCCCTGGGAAAGCGGAGAAGCGCCTCTCGGCGCCCCCGTCTGGGAAAACGGAAAAGGCAGCTCCCGTGTCCCCCACCTCGAGGACCGAGCGCATCGAGGAGACCATGTCCGTGCGGGAGTTGATGAAGGCCTTTCAGTCAGGTCAGGACCCGTCCAAACACAAGGCCGGACTCTTCGAGCACAAATCCCCCAAACCAAAGCCGCCACAGGAAAAGGGCCGGGCTCGGGCAGAGAAAGAAAAGGGGCAGGGGCCCGCCCAGAGAGAGACCCCGAAAACCGGGAGTCCGCCCCCCAAGCCCGGCCAGAGGTTCCCGGGAGCTGTGGCCACAGGTGCCTCTAGCCCGAGAGAAAACGCCGCTGGAGGGAAGGAGCCGGTGTCGGGCCACACGATGCCGCCACCTGTGGGGCAGGCCCTCGGGGAGGAGCCGGACGAGCCGGGCAATGGGGACCCCCAGATCAGCCCCGACCGCAGAACCTCCACCGACTTCTCGGCGGTGATTAGGCAGGAGCTGGAGGACAACGCCCGGTACCAGCAGTTCTGCCACCGGGAGGAGCCGGAGCCGGCGGAGGCGCAGCTGGTCCCGGAGCAAGTGCTCACCAGCCCCTTCCCCAGGGCCTTCCAGCCGGAGCCGGACAGCGGGGAGCTGCTCCCGGGCCTGGCCTTCCGCCTGGATGGCAGCTGGGAGAACCTGCGGCAGGAGGGGGCGGTGGGGTCCCCATGTGGCAGCCTGATGGAGGGGACCCCCCAGGCCAGCTCAGAGGAGAGCTACAAGCACGAGGGCCTGGCCGAGACCCCCGAGACCAGCCCAGAGAGCCTTTCTTTGTCACCAAAGCAAAGCCAGGAGCAACTTGGGGAGCCCAGTGAAACCACCCCCTTGGAAACAGACAGCCGTTCGGGTGAAGAACGGTCCTCCACCAAAGACACTGGCGACGCTGCCGGAGAGCCTGGCGTGGCTGTCACCGGGGGCGCTGAGCCCGCAGCCAGCGGTGTGAAGGAGGCCACCCCGGACCTTCCCAGAGAGACGGGCCCCACCCCCGGGGGCGGCGACCTGGGCCACTGCGCTGTGTCCCCAGCGAAGGAGGCTCCTGCCCGTCTGACTGAGGACGTGCCCGGTGAGGACGGTCCACCTGCCCACGAGACACGGACTGAGCCCCGAGCTCAGAGACCCACAAGTCCCGAGCTCGAGGCCCCCGTGATGACTGGCCAGGCCCAGGCCGCCCCCCGCAGCCCTCCAGGCCTGGAGCTGTCCCTCCGTCAGCCCGACACCGAGGTCCTCAGCCCCGGGGCCGACGAGTCCCTGGCGGTAAGCCACCAGGACTCCCTGGAGGCCAGCCCCGTGCTGGAGGACAACTCCTCCCACAAAACCCCGGACTCCCTGGAGCCCAGCCCCCTGCGCGAGTCCCCGTGCCGCGACTCCCTGGAGGGCAGCCCAGTGGAGCCCAAGGTGAAGGCCGGCGTCTTCCCGGGCCACTCTCCTCTCCCTGCCGCTGTCGCCAGAGCAGAGCTCCTCTCCGAGGGGGCCTCCGTGCGGGCCCGGCTGCTCCGCGACCCCGACGGCAGCGCCGAGGACGACAGTCTCGAGCAGACATCCCTCGTGGAGAGCTCAGGGAAGAGCCCCCTGTCCCCCGACACTCCCAGCTCCGAAGAAATCAGCTACGAGGTCACCCCCAAGGCCTCAGACACAAGCCCCCCCAAACCAGCTGTGATTCCCGAATGCGCAGAGGAGGACATGGAAAACGGGGAGAGAAAGAGGTTCACCCCTGAGGAGGAGATGTTTAAAATGGCCGCCAAGATCAAGACCTTTGACGAGCTCGAGCTAGAAGCCAAGCAGAAGAGGGGCCACCGGAGAGAGCCCGAGCCCGAGGGCTCTTCCTCTTCCCAGCCCGACACCCAGCGTCCGGCGGATGTGGGCGGGCCGTGTGGGCAGCACACCGAGGACAGGCGTGACGTCCCTGTGGTGGTGACTGCCGGCAGCAGGGCAACATCCTCCTCCTCGGAGAGCGAGCCGGAGCTGGGGCTGCAGAGAGCGGGCGCCGACCCAGGCCTGCTCCCGGAGCCGGTCATCCACGTGCAACCGCCGTCCCCACTCCCATCCAGCGTGGACTCCAGCTCCAGCCCCGAGGAAATGCCCTTCCAGCCGACCGCCTCCAAGCAGTACACGTTCAGGGTGAGGGAGGATGCTGAGGGGCCCGGGGCGTCGGGAGAAGAAGCGTGCGCACCTCATCCGCCGGAAGGCAGCCAGGTGGGTCGCCCCGGGGGCCCGGACCCAGCCTCCGACGGCCTGGACAGAGATGCTGACCAGCCCCAACTCTGTGCGGGCCTCGGGTGTGAAGCGGGGAGCACAGGCAGCTGGGCCTCGCCCAGCCCCTCAAGTCCCTGTGGTGCCCCCCATGCTGAGGTCCACGAGGAGCTGGCTGGCTGGGAGGAGCCATCGGCCCCGCAGCCCCCGGAGAAGAAGGACTCGGAGGGAGAGGCGCGCCCCGGAGCTGTGCTCCCCAGCGAAGGCTCTTCACCTCCGCCCCCAGGGCCCGATGGTCCAGCATCTGAAGGAAGAGGGTCAGATGAAGACCTCGTCTCTGCACCTCCCACCACGGAAGCGGGGGCCACAGGACCCGGCCACGCCCCCAGGAGGCTCCCCAGGGCCTGCCCCACGCTCGCCGCCACCACCACTCACACAGACACACTGTCCACGGACGGCCCAGGCTCCGACCGAGCCGGGACCGAAGACGTCTGTGACCTTCACGTCACAAGCCCGTATGAAAACGTTCCTCCCCAGTCTTTTTTCTCCAGCGAAGAGAGCAAAACCCAGACAGAGGTGAGATACACGAGTTTCCACTCGGCAGAAGCGTGTTCTGTGACCATCACGTCCTCTGCGGAAGGTGTGGCGGTGGCCCGCTCCTCCCATGCCACCGTTTCAAGCAGAGAGTGCAGTTTTGAGGGCCAGAGCATGAAATCCACACAAGAAAGCACCTTGTGGGAGACGCAGGTGGATGGCGCCCCTGCGTCCGTCGGGCCCCCGCAGCCCTGCGCCTCTGCGGTCCCCGGCGAACAGGTGAGCACAGTCGTCATCACCACCAGCCACGTGGACTCGGATTCCTGGAGCGAGATCCGCGAGGATGACGAAGCCTTTGAGGCCCGCGTGCAGGAGGAGGAGCAGAAGGTGTTCGGTCTGATGGCAGACAGGCTGTCCCAGGGCACCACCCCAGACACCACGCCGGCCCGGACCCCCACCGAAGAGGGGACCCCAACCGGTGACCAGAACCCGTTCCTGTTTCAGGAGGGCAAGTTGTTCGAGATGACCCGGAGCGGCGCCATCGACATGACAAAGAGGTCCTACGCCGATGACGGTTTTCACTTTTTCCAAATCGGGCAGGACTCCCAGGAGGAGACAGTCTCTGAGGACGTGGCAGGAGACGGGGCTGCCGCCGAGCCCTCAGGGCCGGAGACACCAGCTCGGTCACTGGCACTTTCAGAATCAAAAGACACAGACCTGGCTGACTTGCTCCCCTCTGACCTGAGTGAGGAGGGAGAGGGAACCCCGGCTTCCGATAGTCACTTTTGCTCCCCGACAGGGATCCCAGCCCCCCTGGACACGTTGGTTGCCTCTGTGGGCGCCGAGGACCTGCCCTCCATGCCCGGGGGCGCCGCACCTCCTCCACCCGCTGTCCAGGTCCTGATGGACGACTCCACAGTCACTGGGTCTGGAGTCTCAGGACAGGACGGTGGCTCTCCTGACTCCTCCCCGGAGGAGCAGAAGTCAGTCATTGAGATCCCCACGGCAGCCACAGAGAGCGTGCCTCCTTCGGAGAGCCAGTCCCAGGTCCTGGTCCGGCCCGTGCCCCCTGCTGTCCCCGCCCCGGCCCCTGCAGAGGAGAGCCTGCTGCCCAGCCCAGGCGAGGACAGGAGCGAGCAGGAGACAAAGCCCAGGTCTAAAATCCCGGTGAAGGCGCCCCCCCACGCAGTGGGGCCGCAGCCTTCGCCTCTGCACTCCTCCCTGCAGAAGACAGGGCCTCCTCAGGGACAGGACGTGCCAGGCAGGGCCGCAGAAGACAGGGGCACCTCTGGCTCAGAGGCCAGGCCTTGGGACTCAAAGACCAGAAGTCCAGCGAAAGCTCCAAGCTGTGCTGAGGCTGAAGCGGAGAGCGGGGAGTGGGCGGAGGAGCTCGCGCTCGAGTCGGAGGCCGCAGCCTCGAGACCCAAGATGTTTGCCTCCCGCCTGCCGGTGAAGAGCAGAGGCGCCCCATCTTCCTGCAGGGGGGCCCCAAGCCCCACCCGGGAGAGCAGGGAGCACTTCCTTGACCTTTACAGGGACTCCATAGAGTTCTTCGAGGAGATTAGCGAGGAGGCGTCCAAGCTAGTGGACAGGCTCAGCCAGGCAGAGAGGGAGCAGGAGGCAGTCTCGGATGACGAGAGCAGTAGCGCCCTGGAAGCCTCGGTGATCGAGAGCCTGCCACCTGCCGCGCCCGAGCGCGCGGGCCCTGAGGACATCTTTGACGCCAGGCCCATCTGGGATGAGCCCATTGAGACTCTGATTGAGCGCATCCCCGATGAGAGTGGCCATGACCTCACGGAAGGTATTGCCCCCCGGGCTCCCTGGGCCCCGCATGTCACGAGCCGTGTCGCTGTGCCGTTTGTCTGTTTCCTTTGGTGGTTCGAGTCTCGTTTTCTTTAAGCTTCCGCAGAGGCTCCTGTGTTTGTGTGAGCCCTTCGTGTTGTGTGCTTTCTCTGTACACTCTTATCTGTGAAAACAATCTCAAGATTGAGCCGTGAGAATGCGTGTGGGAACGTGACCACACCGGCCACGGCCCTGCCTCGTCCGGCCGGCCGTCGCACGCGAGCCGCGCCCACAGGGAGTTTTGTTGCTCTGCAGGGCCGGGCCCCGCCTGCAGCCCAGCACGCCTGCTCTTGCACCGAAGTGTGTTGGGTTTGTTTGCGTTATCTGGATCCGTGGCTTTTCTTCACCTTTCTGTACTTGAAGATAATTGACACGTAATTTTTGTCATCATTAGGATGTCCTTTGCTCAAGAAGATTTCACATAGGAAATTCCAGTTTAGTGGATCTGTTTTTGATTCAGAAAGATTGGATTTCAGATCCTGCTGGTCACATTTTCACACACCAGCGTAAGGTAAACGGTGCTTCTCATTGACGCGGCCCGGTTGGAAGCAGCAGACAACAAAACTCCAGCTGTGCATGACTTAGTGGACTGTGAGGGGCCGATGGCGCTGAGTTATCACCATGGAAACCTCAGATGGTGCTGAGAAGTGGCCCCGGAGCTTCCGGTATCTCTGCAATAAAGACCAGGACTTTTAAATTTGCGTGATAGAGGTTGTCACACACCGTGATATAAAACACTGCCCATCCATTAGTGGGGTTAAACATGAATGGAACGTCAGTTTGTGGGGGTGATAGAAGCGCTTGCTTGTTGGTAAGCAGACAAAAACTTTGCCCAAAAGACATACATGCAAACACGTCCCTCACTGCCCTCCCCCAGGCTCACCAAGGCCAAGGCAGGTGTGGTCTCGGGCCAGACCAGGCCTCAGTCTCATGTGACCCTCGGTGGGAGGGACCTGTGTGGTCTGGAGCGAGGGGAGGCCTGACCCTTCCCTCCGCGTCTGCAGCCCAGCTCCGAGCTCACGGGCATCTGACAAGGAGGGCGATCGTTTCCTGGTGGGCGTGTTCTCTGGGGCCATCGGGAAGGGGAGTGTGACGCTGGCTAGAAATCACAGCTTCAGAATTCGTGCAGGGACTGGTCTTGATTGGAGAGATGGGAAGCACGTGGTTTCCATGATGTCTCAGCCTTCCTCCCATTCCATTCCAGAAGCCAGGCACACACACTCGGTGATGGAAGGGTGATAGGGCGATGGTGCGACCATCGGCTGTTTGGACAAGTGACTTCCTCTCTGTGGATGGTCAGTGCGGGATCCTCTCCCGGCACAGACAGCCATGGCCATTCTGTTCTTGACCTTGTGCAGATCAGCAGGATGCGCAGGAGCGGATGGAGGAGCGGCTGGCCTACATCGCCGACCACCTGGGCTTCAGCTGGACAGGTAACACGAGCGGCCACTTTCCAACAAAGCCCGCTGGTTGTGAATGACAAGGTGGCCTCAGCCACGGGTCATGCACAACGAGAAAAGTCTCCTTTTCCTTCCCTTGAGGAAGACCCGAGGGACAGCGAGGAGCATACAGTGCAGGGTAGGAGACCAGGGCTCTGTGGACGTCCTGGGAACTGGGGCAGGCCTCTCGCCCGGGACTCGGGACAGTAGGAGACTATGGGAGAGTCTAAGAAGGTGCCCGCCCACAGCACTCCTCTGGGGCTGTGGGCGCTGAACTTCGGGGAGAGGCTGGTTTTCAAAACCGTTGCCGGAGGTCCCTCTCGTGTTTCATGTGAGACTGACCAGGGCTCCTTGTTTTGGACGCTGTGTCTCGGTCTCCGTGGAGAGCGGTGCTGACGGTGGCTCTGGGCGAATGCTGAAGTGCGTGTGGCCGTGAGAAACGGGGACGCTTGAGAGTAGGAACTCTAATACATGTTCAGTGACTTACTGAGGAAAAGTGGGTCCCGAGATCAGTATGATTTATAAATCACGGCTCCCTCTCACCTCGCCAGGGCTGGACAGGTTACAGCCTCTGGCTTCCTTTTATTTCTTTCCCTTTTTTTGGTCTGACTTCCTCTTGTATCACTTGTGACTACCTGATTGAAACAAATGGTGTAAAATTAATGTTTGTCGTCGTTAAGTTTCTTAAAGATTTGTTGATGAATAGGAGACCAAAATGCCCATAGCAAAGATAATAACGTGCAATAAGTGACTAGAAGCAGGAAAAACAGCCATTTTCTTTAAAAACTGCTCAGATTTATTTAATTGAGGAATTCAGAGGAAGGAAGGACAGCAAATATCCCTGGTTGACTTATTGAATAGGTAACATTCAGAATTACTTTATTTTGTTTTTTTCTTTCTTCCTCCTCCCTCCTCCTCCTCCCCCTTCCTCCTCCTCCTTCTTCTTCTGTTGTTGTTGTTAATCCTCACCAGAGGATATTTTTCCATTGATTTTGGAGAGAGAGGGAGGGAGGGAGTGGGGAGGGGAGAGAGGGAGGGGGACATTAATGTGAAAGAGACATGGTTGCTTGCCTCCCGTAAGCGGCCGAACTGGGACCAGGGATTGAACCTGCACAACCCAGGTAGGTGCCCTTGAGCAGGAATCGAACCTGTGACCGACCCTTTGGTCCATGGGCCGACACTCCAACCACTGAAAAACACCAGCCAGGGCTATTTTGTTTCTTAGATTTATATGTACATACATATTAAATGTAATATCATTAGACATATTGAAAAGTAAGACCCTACAACCATACACGGTGGTATGAAAATGAAAAGTAAAAAAGTCTCTTGCCTACATCTGGTCCTCTGACCTCATGCCCCAAAGGTGACTGCTGGGACGTCCATGCATTCAGAAAACATGCAGTGCTCACATGCATGCCTCTTATTTAAAAAGAAGCAAATTTACTTAAATCTCATAAATAGTCCTTCACCAGAGACGCATCCAGCTCATCCTTTTAAATGACCATTGAATTCTGTGGAGGTGCTGTAACTGCCAGTGGTCTTCACTGCTGGGCACATGGTTGTGTCCTGCTAATGTGATCAGTACACGTGCACTGGGATATTTCTGTGAGCAAAGCTGGAGGGCACGTGCTAGGAGTGGAATTGTTGGGTAAAAGGGTGTGTGTGTGTGTGTGTGTGTGTGTGTGTATTAATCCACTGATTTCAGAGAGGAAGGGAGAGAGAGAAATGTCAATGATGAGAGAGAATCATCGATAGGCTGCCTTCTGCACACACACCCCCACCCCCCCGACTGGGGATCCAGCCTGCAACCCAAGCATGTGCCCTGACCAGAATTAAACCGTGATCTGGTTCATAGGCCAATGCCCCATCACTGAGCCACGCCAGCTGGGCTACATTTTAATTCTGAAAGGTATTGGCACGTTGCCCTTCCAGGCAGACCTCTCATTGCACACGCACACCCGCAGAGCACAGGCATCCACGCAGCATGTCCGTGTTGACAAGGACAAGCCTAGGGCAAGTCTTCCTAGACTGTTATGTGACATCAAGTCAGAGACAGGAATTGATTCAGCCACCGTCATGCAGCCACAACCAGTGTGTGCCAAGTGCAGGGCAGAGCACAGGATGACGGTGCTGAAGACGTCTGTCCCGAAGGATGACGGGTGAGGAGCGGCCCACGTCTCCTTTGCAGTGGTTTGTTTCCCATAACGTTGGTTAAGAGTAGGAGTCGGCACTAATGGTCTCGTCTGCATTTTGGAATTAAACGGGACCACATAGCACGTATTTTATCACCAGAGCCTCCAGCCTACTCTTTCCACCAGGACAGTGAACAGTTCTGGATGCAGCTTTAAGGGAAGTCTAGAACTAGCATCAGAAGAGCAAAGGTGTGTGCGCCTCGTGCTCCTGCGTGGCGACCGTGGTCCCGTCACGTGCAGCACGGAGAGCCCCTGCCCAGAACCCGGCGGGCGTGGGGGCGCCAGCTCCCAGGCTCCCGCTCACAGGCGGCGGCTTCTCTTCCAGAACTGGCCAGAGAGCTGGACTTCTCCGAGGAGCAGATCCACCAGATCCGGGTGGAGAACCCCAACTCCCTGCAGGACCAGAGCCACGCGCTGCTCAAGTACTGGCTGGAGCGGGACGGGAAGCTCGCCACCGGTAGGCGGCTCGGGCAGGACGGGCGGGGGGGCAGCAGGTGGCGTCCCACGCGCCTTCCTGCCCTTCCATCGGGTCACATGACAGGTGCCGAGCACGGCTGCCGCCACAAGAACATGCACAGCGTCTCTAAAACCTCTGGTCCTGAGACCCCTGCGTTGGGTTCCTGTGGCCAGTGTCACTGGGGGGAGGGCGGCAGCCCTGACTGCTATCAGGGACGTTACTTGTTAAAAGAGACTTTATTGATTGCAGAGAGGAAGGCGATGGAGAGAGAGAGAAACATCAGCAATGAGAGAGAATCATGGATCAGCTGCCTCCTGCACGCACCACACTGGGGATCAAGCCCACAACCCAGGCCTGTGCCCTGACCGGGAATCGAGCCCTGACCTCCTGGTTCATAGGTCGACACTCAACCACTGAGCCACAGCAGCCAGGCAGGAATGTTACTAACGTCCTACGTTTTCTAAACGTTGATGATAGACACAGTTGTGTTAATTCTCGTGTTTTATTGGCAGTGACTGTACCTCCTGCTCCTGCCTGTACCGCTAAATAACTTACGTTGGGGGGAGCAGGTACTCTCCCAGTGCTGTGTGTGACCATCTGACCTCGGCGATCACGTACACTTCCCACCCTCGCTGGTCCCAGAGGCCGCTTCCCTGAGCGTCTCCACAGCTCCAGCCAGAGTCCCCTTATTCACCTCTGTCTCCGTACCTCTCCTCACCATCTGGGGGCCTGTGCAGGATTTCAACAATAAGAAGAGAGGGAACCGCTAGACTTGACCTTCACAGGGTCAGCAAGCACTTTTCCTGTGACGAGCATATCCCGTGCCACAGGGGGCTGTGCTCCTGCTGAACGAGTCTTCGGTTTTTGTCTTAAGTTCAGAATTGACGGGTCCTGTCCGTTACCTGGCAGTTCTGCTGCGAGGCTGTACCCAGGCCGGTTCACACTTTTCCTGCTTATCTGCTGTTTGTCTTTTTGCTTCTTTTTACAAATGACTCTATTTGGGCTTGTTGTTTCCTGTACAAATAACAACATTTTAGTAAGGGGGCTAAAGGAAGGTGGTTTTCAAAAGAGCACGCCCCCATGCAATTCATGCTTTCCTTTCACATCCCAGACACCAGCCTCATCGAATGCCTCACCAAGATCAACCGCATGGACATTGTGCATCTCCTGGAGACCAGCACGGAGCCGCTCCCGGAGCGCGCCAGCCACAGCTACGCCGAGATGGAGCAGACCATCACGCTGGACCACAGCGAAGGTCGGGCAGTGTGCCTGCGCGTGTGTGTGCGTGCGTGTGCCTGCGTGTGCGTCTGTGGCTAATTCAAGCAGCTGGGCCCGCCTCCCTTGCCTAGAGGGGGGTCGCCGTGGCTGCTCACACGTTCTCCTTGCTGCCCTGCGGCTTCCCTGCCCTTGAGAGGTGCCCCATGCCAATCACTCCTTGTTCATTCATCAGAGGCTCAGCTTGGCTGGAAGGCAGCACCAAAAACTGTGGCTTAAAGCAGAGATTTCTCTCTGTCGTGGAGACAGGAAGTCTGGGGATGCCTCCTCCCGCTGCGCCCTCGCCCTTCTCAGGCAGGAACCCCCACAGGTTCACCTCAGCACCCTCCCTCCCAACGGCCACCTGCTGGCCACCACCTCGGGACTAGTTTCAACATGGCTTTGAAGGGGACAGACCTTCTGTCTACCCGGCCACGGACTGGGGTGACCCACCAGTGCTTCCCCTCAGCTCCACGTCTTTCCCACCAGCTCAGCTGCCACGTCTGTGCTGTGCCTATGAGACTGTGCCTGTCTCCGTGGCCCCTCGACTCCCCTCTCCCAGGAAGCGCGGCCCTGACTTCACCTGCTCCAGACAGCCGTGATTCAGACCCACTAGGACCTCTGGCATCAAAGTTCCTATTCATTCCATCCCCAGGCGGCTCACTCTGCCCCCTCTCCTCTCTTCTCAGTCTCACAGCTCCTCTTCTCCTTCACGCTGCCAGCGTGGCTCACTACTTCATTCTGAGCTGAGGATCAGGCTTCGTGTTTCTTAGAAAAAGTAGGAACAGTCAGCCCGGCGACGTGGCTCAGTGGTTGAATGTTGAACTTTAAACCAGGAAGTCACAGTTCAATTCCCAGTCAGGGCACAGGCCCAGGTTGTGGGCTCAGTCCCCAGTAGGGGGCGTGCAGGAGGCAGCCGATCAGCGAGTCTCTGTCATCATTGATGTTTCTGTCTCTCTTCCTCTCCCTTCCTCTCTGAAATCAATAAACGTACATTTGTAAGGAATAGGAACAATCACAAGCAGACACTCACATTCAGGCACCCCATCTCCTGCCTGCGTGATCTCAGGCCTGCAGGCCGCCCACTCTCAGTTTGGCTAAGACCCTGGTCTTTTGTCCAGTTAAGAGCGTCACCCCTACAGCTGCCCGGGCTCCCAGCCGGACAATGCTCACCGCACTGTGCCCGCGCGATGGCTGTTTCCCCGCCTGTCTTACAGGTGATCTCTTCAAAAGCGCTGACACCCTGAATCTGCTCCCCGCCTATCCCCCAAGTCAGCTCTCTGGGCACCTCCAAACAGAGGTGGCCGCCGCGTGGCCAGGGCCTCATGCCGCGCGGTGAATCCTCCCGTGGCTCCCATGCTCTTCTTGCTTTGCCTTTAGTCACGTCTGACGCACAGAACCAGCCCCTTCCTTCTAGAACGTTCTTCACCCGCCCCTGCTCTGCTCCTCTCTCTCTGCCTTTCCCCGGCTTCCTGCTCTGTCCTTCGGCAGCGCTCAAGTTGCATGGGTTTCAGTGACGGCAAATGTGCCCCCCGGTTCAGGCCGCCCTCTGTCCCCGCGTGGGCAGTCCTCCCATCTCAGCCCCGTGGGTCTGCAGAGACCTCCCAGGCGCCCTCCGGGCCTCCCCACTGCCTGCCCTCCAGTCCCATGAGGAAGGGCTTCCCGGCTCCTCCAGGCTGTCAGGTGTCAGTGAGTAAATGGGTGGGGCCGTCACGCCTCCGCCTCCGCCTCCGCCTCCCAGAGCCCTCACAGCAGCCGGGCCAGGGTGTCGGGCCTCGCGCAGGGGCCCCCAGAGCACCCACAGCCCCAAGTGACCTGCTCACCTGCAGAGCGTTCAGCTGCTGCTGCTGCTCCTGCCTCACTTCTTCTCCACATCCCCTCAGCAGCTCCTCGTTCCCGCCCTCCGTCTCTGCTCCTGTGGCCCAGCCTCTGCGTGGCTGTGGGTTCCTCTCTGCGCGGGCCCCGCAGGACCTGCACGTCAAAGGCAGGCAGAATCTGGGTCAGCTTTGGCGCTATGGGCCCCCTCCCCCCCAGGACGGGCACGTGGAGTCACTCAGGAGCTCAGGAAGGTGTCCAGCGTGGCCGGGCGTCAAGCCGCTCCTGACCCGCTGTCCTCCGCAGGGTTCTCAGTGCTGCAGGACGAGCTGCCCGCGCGGCACCCCCAGGCCCATGAGCACGCAGTGTCCAGAGCAGGCGAGGCCTGTGGTCACCCCCCAATCGTTTCTGACGAAGACCTCTCCATCGGCTACTCCACGGTCCAGGATGGCACCTCCAGGACGGACGGGGACAGCCCCGCTGGGGAGCGGGTGCGCGGGGGCCTGGCGGGGACAGGGACGCCCGAGGAGCCGGCCCCTGGGCCGCAGTCGCAGTGCTGGTGAGTGTCCGGGGACAGCGTGGCCAGGGGCCGGGGTGCGGACGGTGGCCTTCCTAACGACCCCCACAGGCCAGGGCTCAGTGAGGAGAGTTACGTGCTCCTAATGCCTGTCCTGGTGGGAGCCCGGCACGCCTGGGAAAGGGTGGTTTACACTGAGATTCCTTCCATGGGAGCGCACGGCCGCCTGGGGTGGCAGGGCAGCAGGGTGAGCAGAGCGGCGCTGGGAGGTGGGGGCAGGGGGGGGGGGAGTGGGGGGTGCTCCCTGGTTCCTGCTCAGCCAGGTGGCTGAGGCTGCAGTACAGACACTCACAGGAGGGAGGGAGGGCCGTAGAGCACGGCGCATGGACACAGAACGCTGGCCCCTCTGCAGGCTGAGGCAGCGTCCCAGGCCCTTTGTGAACTTGTGCCTTGAGGCCAACACAGGCAGTGAGCGTCTCTTCTCTTCTCCGGAGGAGCCACCCTCCAGCAGGCATCAGGGGCCGGCACAGAGCAGGGGGAGGAGGGGGCAGAGGGGAGGGAGCCAGGCCAGGCGCAGAGGCAGAGAGTGGCAGCGCGGGTTTCAAAGGAGCCGAGAAAGCAGAGAATCTTCTCCCTGGAAATGGAAACGACCGAGATCGCGGCCGAGTCACGTCCTCCACAGCCATAGAAGCAGCTTCCAGGCCACAGAGCTTCCTCCCAAGTCGCCGTGTCCCAGAGGAAGAGTCTCCCTGCTTGATCAGCCCGGTGCCCGTGTTCACCCCGTGCATTTATTGCTTTTCACAAACTTTGCCAAATTTTGATTCTTGCTTCGCAAGCCTTATTATCTACAGATCCGTTAGGGAGCCCTTCTTGACTCTTCACTCACCTCCAGGCAGCAAAGGAAGGATAAAGGACGGTGTCTGTGCTGGGAGGGGGGAGGAGACGGGACTCGCCTGCCTGCGTGAGCCTTTGGAAACATCTTTCTCAGCCACGCTGCACCCTGAGCTGTCGTTCTACACTGCCCATTGCGTGGGATTCTTACATGTCGTTCTAATGCACTAACCTATTTGACCTTCGTGACTAGGAAGGGGGTCCGTGTTCCCCTCTGCGGCCCTGGTCTCGGCGGGCAGGGGGCACCTGCTCGCTGTAACCCAGCCTTCCCTTTCAGTGTGACCAGCCCGTGGACACCAGGGCCAGACACCACAAAGGCCACGGCAGCCCCAGGCTCTCCCAGCAGGACCCCCGAGGAGGACAGGCCCCACCAGCCAGCCCCGCCGCCCCGGGAGCGGGCAGACTCGCCCCTCGTGCAGGAGCCCGAGGAGTTCAGGGAGGCCGGCTCTCCGAGGAGGAACAGCCTAGTGATCGTGGAGTCGGCCGATGAGCAGCCACCGGCCTTCCAGAGCCTCGATGCAGACTCGGCGTTTCAGAAGGTGAGGAGCCCTCTGCCCTTCCCGCCACGTGGACAGCCTCTCCCGGTGTTCCCTGAGGCTGATGTGCTCCCTGCACAGCCACCGGGTGAGGGAGCCAGGACCGCGTGCACCTCCATCCTTTTTAAGTCGGGGCTCCAGTGAGTAGAACCCATGGCCTGGGTGCCATTCTCGCCACTTCACATTCGCCCACATTTTATCACTGGAAACCGTTTTGCTGAAAAAAATGACCACCAGCCGAAACCACATCCTGAGGTGGCTTTTCACATTTAGCGGCCTGGGACCCGCCGTGACAGGTGCGGGACAGGCTGGGGCCGGGGGGTGGGTGTAGGGATGGCTTGGCAAAGGGGCTTCCCACCCGCATGCATTGCTGCTGCCAGGTGTCACAGGTGAGATGGAGCTGCGTCCCTTCCCCTTGGAGCGGGGAGTGGAGACCCATAGGAATTCACGTAAACCGTTTATTCCCCACATGAGGTCTGAATGGCTCCTACCCCTCACTGCTCCCTGGCATCCCTCCCCCCAGGATCCTGAACTTGGGGGGCAGAGGGAGAAGCTGCATTTTCAGCAACAATGTAGTAGGCGTAGGCGTTCTCCTACACAAAGTGTGAATCTGTTTGAATTCAATTTAATTTAATGCAAATTAAATTAGGTGTTGTTTCTCCTTTTAGAATTCAAAAACATTCTATATGTCAAAGTGTTTTTAAAGGATCCGTGCCTGTCTTAGTGAGAAAGAATGAGTTAGAAGAAAGAATTAAAATTTTGGGGGGAAAGTTAATAATTCAGCATATCTTTGGGCAGAAGAGCTGCATTTATTGGTTTATTTTACTACTAGAGGCCTGGTGCATGACATTCATACACTGGGGTGGGGGGGGCCCTCAGCCCGGCCTAAGCCCTCTCGCAGTCCGGGACCCCCGAGGGGTCCTTAGCGCTGTTTCGGAGGCAGGAAAGGCTCCTGCCACCTCTGCTGCACTCGTCAGCTGTGATCCTGAGGTGTGGGTGTAGGGATGGCTTGAGCGTCTGCCCCCTGGTGGTCAGTGCGTGTCATAGCGACCGGTCATTCCACCGGTTGATTTGCATATTAGGGTTTTATTATATAGGATAGGATGAGGGTGACATCTGTCAGCAGCAGCCATCGAAGAGTGTAGCTGGCATGAGAAGCCCCGTTTCTGCAGTTACAAAATAATGAGTTCAGCCCACATGGGTCTTTATTCTATGTCGGCCTCTGTAGAGAATTGCTCATCTCACTAGAGTTGGCTGAGGTCAATTCTAGTAAAAGAACTCATAGGTGATGCTTGGGCTTAAAAGTTGCCAAATTGAGCCTAAGAATCCATAAGCTCATTGAAGTCTAGACTTGGCACAGTGATCTGGTAAATCCCCGCATTTAGTCTGTTCTCTGCACATAAACACCTTCTGGCACGTCACTCCGTGCCCGCCCGTTCACTCAGGCCCCGGCCCCGTATTCTTGGGGAGGCCCCTCCGCTCTCTCTGCTTCTGATTTTGACCCTGACCTCTCACGACCCTGATCCCTCAGGACCCTGCCCTGAGGATAGAATGTCTGCAGGTTCCTGCCAGCCCGGTTTCTAGGCAACAGGCTCCTGAGCATTTTCAGTGTATAACTTGGTCTAGATTTGAGGTCTTTTTCTGCAGCAGAAAGGAATCTAGAAACACCAGTGGCATGTTAAAGTATGTGGGGACATGTAGCTGTTTTCTTTGTCCTTGAGAAACCTTCCACAGGGAGAGAGTTGGCATGTGGCTCCCAGGACGTATGTTGTAATCTGAGGTCACGTCTGGCTCCGTCCTGGCTGGACTCTGCGAGTGGGTGTGACACCCCCAGGCCCCGCAGGCCCATCCCTGCCTGGACGAGGCGCAGGGAACCTGGTCCATGGGAGCATCTGCAGCAGCAGTAGACATGGCGAGACCAAGGACAGGCACTCCAGCCGCAGCCCGAGAGCGGGCGGGGGGCGGGGGCGGGGGCGGGTCTGTGCCCCCACCTGTGTGTAGCAGGAGCGAGAGTCCCGGCAGGTGAGAAGCACTGGTTTCACCGCAGGTCCTGCCCAGGGCCTCGGTCAGACTGGATGCCAGGGTTTCTTTTCGCTCGCTGCGCAAGAAGCCATGCTCTCTCTGTGAAGCCCGAGCCTCGTGTGCAGCTCTTTGTGCCCTGTTGGCGCAGCCCCAGAGCGCAGTGAACAAACCTCCAGGAGCACGTGTGAGCTCACACCGGGCCTGTGGCAAAGGCGTCCCCCGGCGCCATAACACCTGCCTCCGCTTGCAGGAGCTCACGGCCGAGCTGGGCGAGCTGGAAGCCAGCTCCGATGAGGAGGCGCTGGTCACCACCAGGGTTGTCCGCCGGCGGGTGATCATTCAGGTACCAGCTGCTCAGGCCGCACGTCTGGGACAGTGACCGCGCACGGCTGCCCAGGGCAGCGGGCTGCATGCGCTGGCGGCCTGGGGAGCAGCCACGGACAGTCCGAGTGCTGTTGCCGAGGAATGCGCGTGGCTGCTCCCGGGCAACAGCGGGGGCGCTGACACGTCTGCAGCCCGCCCTCCGAGCCCATGTGCCGTCTCTGTCCACGTGTCTGCGTGTTGAGCTGACGTTGGTCGGAGCTCCCCCGGGCATGGCGGCACCTACATTCTCTCTGCAAACCTCTGTGTCGGGGCCTGGCCCTGCGGTAACGCTTCTCTGCCTCCGCTAACTGCTAACACGTGTGCCCTCTGGCCTGGGAGCCGGTGCCCCCCCGCCAGGGCCACCGCTGATGTGGGCCTGTCTCTGCAGGGAGACGACGTGCCTGACTTGCCCCCAGAAACAGTCACGGAAGAGACATACGTGGACGAGCACGGGCACACGGTGGTGAAGAAGGTATGTCCCCCCCTCCCCAGGCCCCGTCCTGTGGCTCCAGGACAAGACTCAGGGTGCCGTCCCCCCAGGTCACCAGGAAGGTCATCCGGCGGTTCGTGTCCTCGGATGGCACCGAGCGGGAGGAGGTCACCGTGCAGGGGCAGCCCCAGGAGCCCGTCAGCCTCGCAGACGCGGACGCCTACTCCAAGGTCATCAAGCGTGTGGTGCTGAGGAGCGACACGGAGCAGGCGGAGGTGAGGTCCTGAGGCTGAGGCTGACGGCCAAGTGTGTTGGGGAGTGTGGGCGTGTGGTGTGGACTTGTGGGTGTGTGGTGTCAAGAGTGATGTAGAAGTGTGACATAGGCATGTGACGCATGTGACACAGGTGTATGACATGGACATGTGACGTGGAGAGTCGTGTGGATGTATGATGTGGGTGTGTGCTGTGGCATGTGACACAGATCTATGACACGAGCATGTCACGTGGAGTGTGACACCGATGTGTGGCGTGGACGTATGTGGAGTGTGACACCGATGTGTGACGTGGACGTATGTGGAGTGTGACACCGATGTGTGGCGTGGACGTATGTGGAGTGTGACACAGATGTGTGACGTGGACGTGTGTGGAGAGTGACAGATGTGTGACGTGGACGTATGTGGAGTGTGACACTGATGTGTGGCGTGGAGGTGTGTGGAGTGTGACACAGATGTGTGGCGTGGACGTGTGGCGTGGGGTGTGACATGGGGTGCGAGTGGGACCTGGCCAAGGTGATGGCGCCCTCTCGCAGGTCTCGGCGGCACTCACTCCCCTCCACGGTGAGCCAGAGCTTGCAGCAGCCGCCAGGGGCACGCGTGCCCAACGCCTGCCGTGGTCCTCCCGTCCCTGTGGCTGTTCAGTCCGTATGGGCCACAGCAGGACCACGTCAGGCCCAGGGCTGGCTTGTGTGCAGGGGGCAGTGTGCGGGGAGGCCTGTGTGTGGTGCCCACAGCAGACGCTGCATCTCGGAGCCCAGCCAGGACCTGGGCAGCTCGCCTGCCCTCGAAGGGGCCCCTTCTCTCTGACACACGCCTATGCGTCCTGCTCTGCTTCCTCCACACGCTCACGCGTCTGTCGTGACTCACGGGAGGTGCTCTGGAGTCGGGCCTGCGGCTCCTCACATCCGGAGCGTTCCCTCCTGGGCCGCGTGACCGTCAGGATGCAGAGCCATTTCCACGGGGCAGAGCCGGCGCGGGTGGGGGTCCCCACTGCACGCCTCACCGGACTCCCGACAGGCCTCTGAGGGACTCACGAGGGTTAGAGGGCCGAGCGCACAGAGCCCCCGCGGAGACACCACCGGTGCTGACGGGCTCGTTCCCAGCTGCTGCTCTGCCCGAAGTTCCGTGTCTGGAACCCGGGGGAGCTCTGCAGCCTTTGCGGGCGGGCTTCCTTGTAGAGCAACGCCCCGCAGTGACCTTGGCCTCAGAAGCTGTGTTTGTGTCCCTGCCCGTTAGGTGGCCGTTTCCGAGCCCAGCGCCCTGTGCGAGGCCTCGCAGTTCCAGGCGGAGCCCGTGGAGGGCCGCCGTGTCAGCAAAGTCGTCAAGACAACGGTGGTGCGTGGAGAGAGGATGGAGAAGCATCTGGGGGACCCCCGTGTCGCCCCTGACCTTCCCTCGGCCAAAGACGACTTCGAGCAGGTACAGGAGCAGCCCCGCGAGCCCGTGGCCGTGTCTGTAAGGAAAGGCTTGTCCGTGCGTCCTTCTCATATGTCCTCTTGGGCACAGAGAGGCCAGCGAGGAGCCTGACCCAGGGCCTGTGCAGTGAGGGCTCCGCTGCCTCGGGCTGGTCCGCCACCTCAGAGCTTCTCACAGCCGATGCCGGGGGTGCCGCTGAGTCAGCATCCGTCTCCTGAGCTCATGGGCCACACAGACACGACGTGTCCCCCCCACCCCATCAGTGACGTGCCCCCCACGCCCATCAGTGACGTGCCCAAACATTCAACCCTTCTCTATACATCTCTCTGTCGGAGGACGCCACAATAACGTACCTCACACGAATGAAGATCGAGATAGGAGGATGAGAGAA